CCTCCGGCCAGATCCGGCCGCGGGAGAGCCGGATCCGGCGCCCCCAACCCCGGCCGCCGCCGTCCTCGACTTCTCCGGCTAGCCGCGTCACCGCCTCGGCTTCCGTGTCCCGAGTTGACTTTTCTCGCGGGTTGATTTTTTCCTCCAAGTCCCAGGAATTGCAGATCTAAGTGCCCCTGTTCATAGCTCTGTAACTTTGCATCCATAGCTCCGATTCATGCATATAGCATATCAAAATGTTTATCTCAAAGAGTACATCATTTCGTTCCATTGCATAATTTTCATTTGAGTTCATCTTGATGCCCAAAATGTTGTTAGAAGAGGGCTACTTGAGTTATTTGTCAGATCGGCTACTTCATTTAGGTTTTGTCATTTTTGCCATGATTAATGTGTGCATATTATGCCCATGAGTTCTACATGTGTTTTGTTAAGGGTTTTGTCATCTTTCCAAAGGTGCAACCCATGTATTTTTGTGATGTGTGTGGTGACTAGTGCAAGCTTGCAAAGTGGTGCACTTAGTAATTCTGTTTTCAGGGACTTAGCATTTCCACTAAGTCCTTGAGTTGTTTATCTCATGTTGTCATATGTTCATGTTGTTTCCTAGTGATCCGTGCATCTTTTGAGAATGATCAGTAAGGATGTTTTGTTAATATTGTAGTGCTCTATCCATCCATGCCTTTGTTTGCAATTATAGAGCACCCTAGCTTGAGTCAATCGAGCTCTACTTTTTCTACTTTGTGAATCTGGGAAGATTGTCAACTTGTTTGCAATTTTGCCGATGATGTTGTAGTTGATCCATGCATGCTATGCTATTGTTCTTGCCATGTCTAGCTTGAATTTTGTGCCTTCTTGATGGATGTAAGCTTGTCTTGCCATCACTTGCACCGTGGTGAGTGCATCGAGCTTGTAAACATGCCTACTTGAGTTATATTTCAGCATGTGTCAGTTTTCACTAAGTCTGAAAAACTGATTATGTTTTTGCTATGTTCACATGCTTGCAATTGTATTTTCTGATCCCTTTTGGCTCAAGGTCACTAAGGGACTTTTGTTAAGCTCTTTGAGTAGCTCCATGCCATGCTTTACTTTGCCATGTTCAGATCCTGTAGCATGTAGTTTTGTTGCTCCAAAGAGGGCTACCTGATCTGAAATTCCAGACAAGTGTTAATTTCACTAAGTGTGAGATCTGTTTGCCATATGCATTTTTGTCATGTTTGTTTGAACCTGTTAATGGATGAATTGGCCGTAGCTCAGTGCTAGACTTTTGTTAAGCATCTTGTGTGCATCCCTGCCATGTATTTTTTTGTCATGTTTGGTTGCTGTAGCATGTTCATCTCATTGCATTTAGTTGGCTATTTGTTGTAAATCGCAGACCGGTGTCATATTTGAATCGCTTGCCATTTCCAAATCGTAACTCCGATTCCGGCGTTCTTTATATCGTTTTCAAGCGATTTCGTCTCATCTTTCCAGTGGCACACTTGGTTTTCCAAGTTGAGGCCAGGTTCATGCATTTCCTATCATATCTTGCATTTTGCATCCCGCATAGCATATCATATTTGCATTATGTTGTTTGAGTTTGCACGTGGTGATTGTGCCCTTGTTGCTTGTTTGTCTTGTTTGGGTAGAGCCGGGAGACGAGTTCGCTAACGAGGAGCCCGTTGAGTTTGCTTTCGAGGATCCAGTCAACTCTAACAACTGTGCAGGCAAGATGATCATACCCTCGAAATCACTACTATCTTTGCTATGCTAGTTTGCTCGCTCTTTTGCTATGCCATTGCTACGATGCCTACCACTTGCTTTGAAGCCTCCTAAATTGCCATGTCAAACCTCTAACCCACCATGTCCTAGCAAACCGTTGATTGGCTGTGTTACCGCTTTGCTCAGCCCCTCTTATAGCGTTGCTAGTTGCAGGTGAAGATTGGAGGTTGTTTCTTGTTGAAACATTTATTTTACTTGTTGGGATACCATTATATTATCTTGTTATCTTAATGCATCTATATACTTGGTAAAGGGTGGAAGGCTCGGCCTCTCGCCTAGTGTTTTGTTCCACTCTTACCGCCCTAGTTTCCGTCATATCGGTGTTACGTTCCCGGATTTTGCGTTCCTTACACGGTTGGGTTATAATGGGAACCCCTTGATATTTCACCTTGATTAAAGCTTTTCCAGCAATGCCCAACCTTGGTCTTACCATTTGCCACCTAGCCTTTTTTCCCTTGGGTTTCCGGAGCCCGAGGGTCATCTTATTTTAACCCTCCCCCCCGGGCCAGTGCTCCTCTGAGTGTTGGTCCAAATAGAGCCACTTGCAGCGCCACCTCGGGGCAACTTGAGGGTTGATTTTAGTTGTACGTAGCGTTCATCTGAGTGTGCCCTGAGAAAGAGATATGTGCAGCTCCTATCGGGATTTGTCGGCACGTTCGGGCGGTGTTGCTGGATTTGTTTTAACATGTCGAAGTGTCTTGAGTAACCGAGATACCGAGTCTGATCGGAACGTCTTGAGAGGAGGTCTATTCCTTCGTTGACCGTGAGAGCTTGTCATGGGCTAAGTTGGGACTCCCCTGCAGGGATTTGAACTTTCGAAGCCGTTCCCGCGGTTATGGGCAGATGAAAATTTGTTAATATCCGGTTGTAGATAACTTGAACCTTAACTTAATTAAAATGAATCAACTGAGTGTGTTACCGTGATGGCCTCTTCTCGGCGGAGTCCGAGAAGCGGACACGGTGTTGAAGTAATGTTTGCGCAGGTTGTTCTCTAGTTTCTCGCTCGTGCTTTGCCTCCTCTTCTCGCTCTCTTTTACGAATAAGTTAGCCACCATATTTGCTAGTCGCTTGCTGCAGCTCCACATATTTACCTTGCCTTACCTATAAGCTTAAATAGTCTTGATCGCGAGGGTGCGAGATTGCTGAGTCCCTGTGGCTCACAGATTACTATTACATCAGATGCAGGGCCTGATGATTCCGCTCCAGGAGACGCGTATGAGCTCAAGTGGGAGTTCGACAAAGACTCTCAATGTTACTATGTTTCCTTTCCCGATGATCAGTAGTGGTGCCCAGTTGGGGGTGATTGGGACCGTGTCGCTTGTTGGGCTATCTTTTATTTTGGCGCCGTAGTCGGGCCATGAGTGTTTGAATGATGTAATGTTATTTATGTACTTGATTGACGTGGCGAGTGTAAGCCAACTATGTTATCTCCCCTTTCATTATTATATTACATGGGATGTTGTGAAGATTGCCTAACTTGCGACATATGCCTTCAATGCGATTATGTCTCTAAGTCATGCCTCGACACATGGGAGCTATAGTCGCATCGAGGGTGTTACACATATCGCCGTCGCCGCGCAACCATTCTTCTGTGTCAAGTCGTCGTTCATAATTTGCATCTCACTATCGAAATCAACCATTCAATCTTAAAAGATAAACACACTCGAAGATCTTTGGTGACCACGCAATTGTAGAGCCGTAGGAGGTCACCGGAGCACACTCTGCAATCACCCCCACTTGGCCGGATCACCACCACCATCTGTGGACCGTAGCGTTGCCGGCCGGTCAAGTCCAGCTCCTCACCGCCACCGTCCATCTCCGAGCAGAGAGCCCGATGCATGCTGGCCCCTGCGCCAAATCCGGTCGGATCTGGCCCGGAACCATGATCTGCCGGTTTGGCTAAGTAGAAACGATTTTCTTTTCAATGGCAAACTCTCTTCTTCGTGGCAGGTTATTTTTCGTTGTACGCATCAGCTTCGTATGTGGTCTATATTAAATCGTATGAATTACCGACCGTTGTTCAAGACGGTATGTACACGGTTAAAGCGGGTGTCTGGAAAGGTTTTCACCCAACATGGGTGATAACATAATCTTCAAATCGAATCGCCTCCTCCTGCAACATAGGCATATTGTCAGCCTTATAAGGTTTTACTAATGCCCATCTATCGTTTTGTTTTATATTTAGTCAGACTCATTATTTTTGATTGTGTGCATCTTGGATATGCAGAGGCTGGATGTCGCTCATAATGTGTTGTATCCGCTTAATGCTACATATTAAGTTAATAAAACATCATTTATAAAAGAAATATCCCACGTAAAAAAGAACATACATCGATTTTCCAAGTCCAAGTTTTTTCGGTCGGCAGCAAGGTTTCTTGAGGCGGACTGCGCTACACGCATAAACCTGGCACACACACATTGCCCAAAACGTAATAATGATTACCATTCAAGATCAGAAGCTATACATGCGCGCGTACAAATTTTACAATGTATGGAGAATCAGCAATGAAATCCAAATTGTACACTTTGACCAAAGAGGAGGCTATCTGAATTCAGCCAGTCCTCGAGATCCCATATACACTCCAAAAAAAAGGCCCCTCAACTGAATATTTTGTAGAATTTCCTAGAGCTGATCTTATGGGATCTTTTCTTGGCCGATCTTGCTTTGTTTTTCCGGGGAATAGCATGCAGACCACTACAGATGTGATCTAACCCTTCGTCCATAGGCTTGTTAGAATCGATGTCCGAACAGCCTCGATCTTCGTCACTCTCTTCATCAGAACCGGAATCAACGGGGACCAGCGTAGAATTTTTCGGCGTCGTGAAAGACAGCCTCAAGCGGTCGACCTCGATGTTCTTGACTTTGTTAAGGGGAAGAGAATGGAAGGAGAGCTGATGCGTGAAGATAGGTGTCTTCACCTCTTTTACCATTTTGTGCTGCTTCGATTCTTCTCGCTCTCCTCCTTGTTGCTTGCTGGTAGACCACACCATCACTTCAGGCACTCTCTCTTTCTGTGTGTGTGTGTGTGTGTGTGTTGGGCCCTCTCTCAAGTGTTGTTGCTTCCTGTGCTATTTGCTGCTATGTTGAGGATCTAGTAGTGCGACACTTATATATAAGTTGTGAGGGGCGAAGAGAGAGAAGCTGAGGGGAGAAAGCTGCGTGAAGGTTCGTCCAGGACGAAAACGACGGATGTGAGCGGAAGCACGAGGTCAGATGATTATTTGACTTGATCGTCACGGTGGCTGCCGCGCGCCTTGGTTGCCAAGGTTCTTCGTCGCTGACTCGTCTGACGAATCTTGTCGATATCCATTTTCTTGGTTGCCAAGGTCGCTATCCATTTGCACATGTACGGGGAGAGGAAAAATGCCTTGGTGGGCATCCAACCGGACAGCCGTGATCAGGGATGGAGTCAGGATTCTAACAAGGGGGAGGCCTCCGGTGTGGACATTAATAAAATAAGAGTTAATTTCATTTTTAACCCGGAGAAAATCCTTAATTTATACTTCCTCTTTCCTAAAATATAAGGCGGTTTTTTATGCACGACTTTGACCATTAATATATATCAAAGTATATTGATTGAATATGTATAAATGGCATCATCGTATTTGTCTTGTAACGAATACATGAAAATTATAGTCAAAGTTGCACAATAAAGACCAGAAAAGTCAATCCGCGCCTTATATTTTGGGAAGGAGGGAGCACCTTCACTTTCATTTTGGCAGGTGAGTACCTTCACTTTTGCACTTTGTGCCACATTTTACCCTCGTGTTTACATTTTAACTTGGTTTTTCTTCTCTCAATTTTAGCGCTTGCCACGTTGACAGTTTATTTTTGCTTTTGGTTTTTTCTCCTAGTTGGTCATTCTTTTGAACAGGAGCGAACTGAACCGAAGAAAAGCAGGTCAACCACCCCACTACTCCCACATTCTTCCTCCTTGTATGGTTGTACCCAACCCGCCCAAGATCCACTCCGCCTCGGGCCCAGCAGCTACACAAGACGGCCAAAAAGCTTCTTAATTTGTTAAAAAAAGGTGCACGAGACGGCAGAGGAGGCTCGGGATACTCATGTCGGCGCGAAGTTGTAGCTGCCGCCACTTTCGTACCCGTCGCCACCATTCATGTTGGCAGTCGCGCGGAGCCATGCAGCAACGTGGCATCTGCCCCACCATTCACGGAGCCGTCGAGCTACCGCGGTGCGGCCGACCGCATCTTCACCTCTTTGCAGGTAGGAGGACCAGGAAGGGCAGTGCTTCTCGGTGAGGCCCCAACTCCTATCCACTAATTGTCGCGCTACGGGTGAGCTTAGATCCGGATGTACGGGAAATGCCGAGCGGTGGCACTGGCTTCCCGCTCGCAAGAGGCAGGGGGTCGGGCAGTGTGCATCGACATGCACGCCCGCGATGGGCCTCGAGGACCGGGTCGCCGTCACACACACTATAAGGCTAGTCATAGTGGGGTAACTTAGGTAGTAACTTAACATATCCCAAGACAATTTTGCTTATGTGGCAAGTATTTAATGATGAGAAAGGTGCTTGGAGTAACATAATATGTTATTGTAACATAGCGCTTTCCGAGGTAAAATGAGTCTATAAGGCAATAAATGAAATAAACTATGACACTACTACTAAAATACTTTGCACTATAGAGATAGTAACTTAGACTAGTATCATATGCATGACACTAGTTTAAGTTACTCCCCACTATGACCAGCCTAATTGCATAACCTTGGTTGTTGTGGCAACCTTAGTCACAAATCAAAAGGCCTGAATGTAGTATCGTTGTTTGGCTACATAAATGGGACCCGTATATTAAGAATCTCTTGCCCTTTCATTGTAACTCTATAATTTTGAAATAAAACTTCTTTTATCCCCGCAAAGAAAAATAACCACCTCTACAAAAGAGGGGAATAGCTTTAGTCTATCCAACACAGAAAAAACAATTTTGCTATTTGTCGGTTGCCTGAAAAAAAAATTCAACCACATTTTTTGTGTGTTTACTCTTTTCTTTTCTTTTCCTCTCTCTCACACACAAAGGAAGAGATGTGAATGACAGTTTGAACTTTGGACGGTGAAAGGAATGGAGTAAGGAGTAATGGTCGATACATCCCATCTTGCACGCTTTCCAACGCATGCAAACAAATGGCATGCATGGCTTGCTGGAGCCTAGCTCTGCAAAAATGGTCGTTTTGACTATTGCTCGCTAGGAATTCGATGTAGGTCATGCTATCAAACATGCCGATTTTGCATCTCCAAAGCCTGAGCTGCGTGCGACCTATATCTGGCCATCTACCAGGCCGGGCCGGGCTTCGTGCCGAGCCTACCAAAGCCCGAGGCAGTAAACCTAGGCCCGAGCCCGGCCCGACCGTCAGGCCTGATTTTTGCGCCCAAGCCCAGCCCGACCGTCGGGCCTGTTTTTTGGGCCAAGCCTGGCCCAAAAATGATAAAGCCTGTCGGGCCTTGAGTCGGGCCCCTTCAGTAAATCGTGAAAACGACAGGCCCGGCCCCGGTCTTCGGGCTCAAAATCTAGGTCCGGGCCTTTTCGGGCCGGGTTGCCCATGGCCAAGACTAGTGTGAGTGTGTGACCTATCAAACACGCCTTAAATCCTCCTTTGCCGCAACCGAAACTGAAGCGTGATTGGGGTACTGGATTGGTGCGAGCATGTTTGTTTGGCTTGGTCGACTTTTCGAGTATGCTATCTATAAGTTACTGTAGATTGAACGACTATGGTGGTATATCTGACGATCCATGGGATGCCCTAGTGCTAGTTGACCGTGACTATTTTCCATGAGCATGCGTTTTAATACTGTGGCAAACAGTGTTCCGAAATGAACTTTTATGACATTATATTAACACATACTCCCTCCGTCTTGAATTAGGAAATTTCGGACAGAGGGAGTACAAGATACAATTCTCATCAAATAATCTAGCCCTCAATGCTCATCAAATAATCTAGCCCTCACAAAACAGGCGAACTCTCTGGCAGAATGCTGACAAAAGCTTCATCAAAATCCCAGTGACCACACCAGCCGGAGGTCGAAATCTCAGAGCAGCCCAGGACGAGAATGGAAGGGGAAGTGGTGCATCACTATGGGAGCCCCGCTCCTCTTCTTCTTCCCCTCCTTCCCCGCCGCCTTCACCTGATCAACACCTCCCATCTGCTTGGCCTCGCCGACTACGTGGCCACTTGGCGCCGCCTCTGTTACCGCCGCTCTCTGCTCCACGGCCTCTGCTCCCTCTCCTCCCAGCCGCCTGCCCGCCGGCGACACCTTGCTTGCGGCTTCAGGAGCGCCGAAGCAGTTCATGCCCAGCACCATATTTGATATTTCCCTCGCTTTTTTAGTTTCTCGCTCGATCTCTGCGTTGGCTCAGCTTGTGTTGCTGTGATGCTCTTGTGGTGGCTGCATTTATAGGGAGGAGGAGATCAGGAGAAGGCATGGCGCGTGTTGCCCCGGGACCAAGGCTGGGAAGCTTCGTGTGGTCCTTGATGCGTGGAGATTAAGCACATGTCAGTCAGTTGAGTACTTGGCTGACTTGGTTCGCTGCCGCCTTGGTTGCCAAGGTTCCTCCTGCGGACTTACCCCAACTCCACAGCGCGACCCTATCCTGTCCGGTCCCGTTCGTTTGAGGTAAAATGAACAAAGGAGAGTTCAGCGCGCGGGAGCAAACAGACTTTTGTTCGTTTTGTGTCCGCTTTCAATCCATCCGCGGCTCAAGTTTGCGTCGCTTTTGGGGTGAAACAGACACCACGCGGACGCGCGGGTCGTCTGCGCGTGTCCTCCCCTGGCCCGCCCATCGGTGGCACAGGGTGGGTCTTTTTCTATCCGGCCTCTCCCTCCCTCCGGCCGCATCCCCAACACTCTTCCCCACTCTTCCTCTCGCTGCCGCCGTCGCCGCCGCTGTCATTGCAGCCGTGCAGTTCGGACACGAGCTCGTCCAGCCTCTTCCCCTAGGCGCCGCCGAGCTACCCAACCACGGCCACCTGGTGTGCGCTCCCGCCGGCCGGATTTGGGGCGGATCCGGTCGGTCTTGTGCTTGGCCGGCTGTGGGAGGCCGGGCCGCTCCATGGACTGGCCGGGCACCTCGCCGGAAGGCCCTGGCAGGGCCGCAAGGCCACATGCAAGCAGTGGCTCCTCCTCTAGCCGCTCGGATCTGCATCGTCGGTGGTCCGCCGACAGATACACGAATGATGGTCGGCCGGGCTCGGTGCTTGCCCAAAAGCTCGCCGGCGCACTGTTGCCACTCATTAAGTGCGACCACTGCCCAAGGATGGTCGTGCGCCGCGTGTCTACAACGCCGGAACATCCCGGATGGGTGTTCATCAAGTGCTTAAACGACGGGGTATGCGCTTTTTTTAGCTTCGGTCTGTGCTCTAGATTTGATTAGTTGTGCTAACTTTAAATTTTGTTGTGTAGAATGAATGCAAGTTTTGGTATTGGGAAGAAGAGTACATCGATATATTGATAGAGCGAAATTTAGTACATGTTCATGCACTTTTAGCTAGCATAAAGGCTGTAAAATGAGACAAGTGCACTTGTTGCTAGATTAGAGACTAGACACGAGACTAGATGTGAGGAAGTAACATCTACATCTGGCTTGAAGAAGAAAGGAGGACGCCAGATCGAGCCTCCTCCACAGATCAACGATGAGTGCATCAAGAAGGCCCTAACCCAACTTAAGGGGGCAATTATGAAAGTTGGCTATCTTCTAAAATGTATTCTTGTTGTTTTTATTTTCTTTGGGCTTGTTTTACTAGTCAAAATATGATGATGTATTGTTATGTATCAAAAATGAATGATAAAAGTTAATGACTTGCAAAGAAAAATACACGGACGGGATACGGCTGGATGCGTCCGCACGCTGGACGCACGGCCACCACATTTCAGGACACGCCCGAACACGACCCCAAATTCCTATCCAAATGGACAAAATCCGAACAAAACGGATATCCGTTTGGGGTCGTGCGGTGGAGTTGGCCTTACCTGACGGATGCCGTCGCTGTCTGGTCAAACTAACGGGGCTGATTTGACGACTTGGTCACTGCGTCAACATCGGCCGGTGGTGGTTCACTGACGTAGTAGTATCATCACGAGCATGGTTTGCCTTTTGACCAGTGTGCCACGGGCCAGAGTTTTGCTGGCACGGGTCGACCAACTACGGTCCTCCTGTTTTCTCGAAAAAAGATAAGAACTGGCATAATAACCGTTTGCAAACAGTACTCATATGTTGGGTTTTACACATTTTCCCCCTTGCATCATGGCAGAGACAACCAACAAATTCCGCAAGCTGTTGAGAGCAACAGCCAACATAATCATCCAGAGCAGAGCAAAATACTCCACCACTTGATCCTGAATTATTAACAGATTCAGGAAGCAGAAGAAAGTAGACTACATTGCCTGAACTTTCGAACCAAGTTGTACCATCAGTTCAAATTAGCATAAGCACGTCCCAGCAGAGTCAGCCAAGCAGAGCAGTAAAGGAAAAACTGAAAAGTAAAGCAACGGGACATTGAAACATCAGTAGGCTAAGAACAGACTCATTCAACTGAAACTCATGGCCATAGTAGTAGCAGCAGCAGCATATATTGCTGCCAAAAGAGAGCTCGTTCGTAGTACAGCCACTTGTCCGGTACGTAATTACAGATATACTTGAACTAACACTCCGCTACTTTGCCAAGGAAGGCGAAACCACAGACGATGATCTGGTTCAGAAACCGCACCCCAGCGCTTATTACATCGGAGCGATCGGAAGCGCGTTAGGCGGCCTAGTTCTCCATGCGGATGATGCAGCGGATGCCCTCGCCCTTCGCCATGAGGTCGAACGCCTTGTTGATCTCCGAGAACGGCACGCTGTGTGTGATGAACTTCTCCACCTCCAGCTCCTGACCACAATCGCAAGTTGTTCGAGCATGAGGTTCAAGTTTTCAAGGACTAGATAAAAGTGTCCAGCATTCAACATATCTCAACAAGGTGCAAAGCATAGACCAAGCTGCAGCAATTAGCGATTCCTGTTTACCTTTCTCATGTACATCTCCACGACATTGGGCAGGTCAGTGCGCGGCTTGAAGTTTCCGAAGAAGGTGCCCTTGAGAGTCCTCTCGTTCAGGAAGTTCATCGGGTGGGTCTTGAATTCGGCGTCCTTGTGCGGCACACCCACCAGCACAGCAACACCCCAGCCCTGTATATAGATCACAGAATTCAAGTTTTCATCTAGAGAAAAGAGGCAATGCAAAATGATCATGCTTGAGTGGATGATTAATGTCTTAGCAAGTCATACATCATGAACACATTCAAATGCTTGTATCATAGCATTGACGTTGCCCGTGCACTCAACACTGCGGTCAACTCCACCATTTGTCATCTCAGCGAGCACCTAAGGCATCATCAATAAGTTGTATGTTATGATCACTAAGCACAATGAATAACCATTTTGCCTTACAAGAAGAAACAAACCTGTTGAACTGGCTTGGTGTGATCTTTCGGGTTCACAAATTCCGTGCAGCCAAATTTTCTAGCTGAACATGGACAAGATATAAAACATCAGAATCTTCGCAAAGCAACAGATTAAACTCATGAATAGTAAAATCAGAAGTATTTACCTTCTTCAAATCTGCTGGCGTTCAAGTCAACACCAATGATCCTTGATGCACCTGCAATCCTTGCACCTTCTGCAGCCTGAATCATACAAACATGAAGGGGTAAATAGATGCAAGTCAGGCGCACATGCCAATTGCAATTGCAGAACAATCAAGAGATGAATTAGGGCACTTACAGCAAGGCCAACAGCTCCTAGCCCAAATATCGCCACTGTCGAACCCTTTGGTGGTTTTGCAACATTAATGGATGCGCCAAGACCTACAAAAAGAATGGCAACTCAGCATCTCAAGATAAGATGAAGCCATAACAAGCATACCACAGCAACAGAAGTCAACTTATCAACTTACCAGTGGAAATACCACAGCTAAGAACGCAGACTTTGTCAAGGGGAGCCTCAGGGTTGATCTTGGCAACACAACCAACATGCATGACAGTATACTCACTGAAGGTGGAAGTCCCTACGAAATGGTAAATCGGCTTCCCGTCAATAGAGAAGCGTGACTTGCCATCCCCGATCATGACACCTCTGTCGGTGTTGATCCTGAGCAGATCACACATGTTGCTCTCTGCAGACTTGCAATGTGGGCATTCCTTACACTCCCCAGTGAACACAGGGAGGACATGGTCACCAGGGGCAAGCTCAGTCACACCCTCTCCAACACTCTCCACTATGCTGTGAACATAAATAAGTTCAGGGGACGTGCAACACATAAATTTGTTCAGAGAAATGTATACAGAAGGACTTCATGTCCGAGCACCTCATCAGATAAATAAAGAGATGGATATAGCAAGTCAACCAAAGCAACATGGAACAAACTCCAGTGACATGCACGGTGACATGCGGCCCAAATTCAAATTTAAACATTACGAAAAAATATGAAAAAAATCATGCATGTTCACAGCACATACTAAGATAACCCCTAAAAATTTCAGATCAAAATTCGAAACATACATCGAGAAACAAAAAAGAGAAACTCAGATGACAGATTTCTCTTTTTCGTTTCTCAATGTATGTTTCGAATTTTGATCTGAAATTTTTAGGGGTTATCTTAATATGTGCTGTGAACATGCATGATTTTTTTCAAATTTTTTCGCAATGTTTAAATTTGAATTTGGGCTGCATGTCACCGTGCATGTCACCTGATCCCAGTCCCTCCTGATGTATCTTCAGATGACAAATAAGTTCAGGGGGCATGCAACACATAAATTTGTCCAGAATCTATATAAATGGACTTCATGCCCGAGCACCTCAGATAAATAAAGACATGTTTATAGCAAGTCAACTAAAGCAACATGGAACAATTTCTGATGTATCTTCACATGAGAAATAAGTTTACGGGACGTGCAGCAGATAAATTTGACCAGAATATCTATATAGAAGGACTTCATGTGGGAGCACCTCAGATAAATAAAGAGATGGATATAGCAAGTCAACTAAAGCAACATGGAACAATCTTCTGATGTATCTTCACTTGAGAAAGACATGTCAATCGAAAGTCCTAGTACCAATTTATGATATTGACCTCTGGTGTTCCATATTTGCTCTACCAAGATCCAACGACAGTGACGCCATTACAAAACAGACAACAACAATTATTCCGCAACGGTCTACACAGGCAACACACAGTTCTTATGATTACTTCACATGTTTTCAGTTCTGTGATGGACCTATCCTTTCTCAACAAACAATTAGCACAACTTAAATCAAAAGAGGGGGTTTCCCTCCGATTTCATTAACGAAATCACCAAAGCAAAAGCATCCAGCAAGTCCTAAACGTCACCTTAACTCAACCTACCACTGCTAAACAGGTGCAAGAAATTCAGAAAATAGAAACGAGACTCCACACCGACGGGAACTAGTAACAGCAAACAAAACATAGACGCTGAAGGAAGACCAAACAAAACATAGACAGCAGAGAGACATGACATAGACGCTGAACTGAAGGAAGACCAAACAAAACATAAGATCGCAGGCGCATGGTAAACATGTATAGACAGACAGGGTAATGATTCATCAAGGAAGGTACAGTAATTGAGACTTGAGAAGCATACCCTCCAGCTTCATGACCGAAGATCCGAGGGAACATGGGAGTCTGCCCCTAAGCATCGGAAGCCACGGAGGCGCAAGTCAGCCACAAAACTGAAGGGGAACATAATTTATTGACCGGAAGCGAGCATGACGGCGGTGGCGCATGCGTACCTTGGCCTCCCAGAAGTAGACGTCGGTGTGGCAGAGGGAGGTGAAGAGGATCTTGACGCGCACCTCCATGGCCTGCGGCGGCGCCACCTCCACCTCCTCCATGGACAGCGGCTTCCCCGCCTCCCACGCCACCGCGGCTGCAACCGCGGACGGATCCAAGGAAAGGGCGTCGTCAGAATGCAGTCACGGACGATGATACCACAAGGGGAAGGAAATAAAATCCTCACCCAAAATCACGCAAAAAACCTAGCTAACCCCTCACGAAATTCGTCCCGGGAAGAACGCAGGAAGAAATAAGCAGGACAGTAAGCAAGGAATCGAAAACACAAGCAAGCGCCTTAGAGTGAGGCCCGGGAAATGCCGGGAGGGAGGAGAGGAGAGGGGAGGACAAGGCGCGGACCTTTGCACTTGATCACCTTCCCGGCGGTCGCCATCTCGCTCGCTCGCCTGGGGAATTCTCTGAGCGGAACCGGAATCGAAATCGAGAACTGATCTCTCACTTCACAGGATCAACAAATCCGTGGGGAACCGAGTGTGGGGAGGCCGGGGGTATATATGGGGCCGGGCTGGGAGGGAGGGTGCGGTTTCGCCACGTCTGGCTGGCTGGCTACCTGCTCTGTTCTGTTCTTCTTGGGGAGCAAACCAGGGGCGGGCGGCGTGGCGCCGAAACCGGGGCTCCCGCTTCCACCTGGAAGCTATAATGCGGCCGCGGTTTGTCTCGCTCCCTCCCTCCCTCCTCGGCGCGGGGCGTCGGGGCCCATGGCGTGGGGTCGTGGGCGCCGGGCAGTCGCGTTGCACGCATTGACGCGTGGACTCGCACAGCTGTGTGTTGACAGTGTGCGGGAAAATGGTTTCGGGAATTCCAGAGGCCGCGCGCATGTGCAAAGAAGAGATGAGCGAACCTTTGATCGCTCTTGCCCGGGAAAGTTCTCTCGCGATTTCTTTGATTTGCGGATTTTTGTAACGCAATGATAGGGCTCCTTTGATTCAAGGATATCTTTAAGATTTTTGAAGGATTAAAATCCTTAAGAATTTTTCCTATGTCGGTCCTTTAATTCATATGATTGGATCCTATAGGAATTTATCCTATGGAATCTTTTGTACTATATTTTATAGGAAATCTAACATTCACTTCAACCTTTTTTTACATTTTCTTTGTTTTTCATGTGGCATCAAACACTCTTTGTTAATCCTATAGGATTCAAGTTGACATGCCACTGCAATCCTATACTTTTCATATGCCTACATTTTCAAAATCCTGTGAATCAAAGAGGCCCTAAGAAGGAAAAAGAAACAGAGGGGTTGTAGTGACACGTCGTGTTCAATGGTAGCATACGGTTAAGATTAGTAAACTACATAAAGTTGGGGCAATGATTGATGTCAAAGAAAAATAAAGAAATTTGAGTGGATGGATTCCTTTTTTCTTCAAAATAGTCTAGGGATACATCCTCAAAAATTCCGATGAAGTCTTTTTGAATCAAGAGCCCAAACCACTTTCCAAATACCCTTCTACTCTTATCGAAAACAGTATGGTCCTAAAGGGGGAGTATCTCGCAGCTCTTCTGGAATTTTAACCATGTAGAATGACCTGTCCTAGTTAATTCGCAGTGTTTCAAGCACACAAGAATAGAAAAAGTAAGCATTGTCTTTTCTCGGGAGTCCATCGACGAACCCATGAATTCGTTTTCCCTATGCTAGCCGCTCAGATGGCTCGTGGCAGAAAGGGAATCTTGGTGCTTTCACTCTGAATAGTAGTTTACGGGGCTGTTTGGATGATAGCCCAGCCGCGCCTTACCAAAATTTTCGCGTTGACCACTGGCTTGGGCTGCCGTTTGGATCAAGGCCAAAAAATCGATTGTCTGCCAAAATTTCAGTCGGCAATTCAGTTTTCACGCCCGCACGTGGGTGAAACGGCGGCGGCAGATTTCATCGCCAAAATATTGGCGCGCCGGGGATTGGCAGGGCATGTGCGGGCGTCATCCAAACACAGGGCCGGTCCTGATATTTCAGGGCCCAGGGCGAAATTGCAACCCGGGGCCTTTACTATAAGATCATCCTAATAATCTCATTTTTTTTAGATTCATTCCTTTACCTAACTTATTATTGTCTATTATTTCAAAATAAAACGAGAATTGTAAATAGTGTATTCCTTTACTTAATTAGACAAATCGAATACCTGATAGAGGGTAAACATTAAGATGAAAGGTTTAAAGTTTAAAAGCTCCATTTGCAACAATAAAAGATCATTTCCCTACCCGACGGGAGTCTGAGTGGCTTTATTATATAACCATGTTTGGATTGAAGTTATGTGTGTATAGCCGAGACCTTCTTCCAATTTTTAAGTTAAATTTGCAGTCATATGATTTGGAGAGAGAATGCAAAGAACGACAATCAAACACATAGCAGGCAACTTTTTCAATAGATAAGGCGATTGGTGTTGTGTCGACAAAGTCCAGATTAAAGTAAGAAATAGAGCAACGGGCACACGAAATTAAAATTTGTACTGCATCATATGCGAGACCTTCTAAGATCTGACTGCTGCTGCACTATATGAACATGGCCAACTAGAAATAGGAGGTTAGGGATGGCCCTATAAGTGGGGTGGCTTCGTCTTGCACATGAGAGGCACCTCACGAACGGAGGATAACACAACGGGACCGGGGACCTGGAGGAAGACCAGCCGGCCGCATGACGGAGAGCGATCTACATTGGCATCGAGACTCGCGATTGGAGCCCTCGCGGGAATAGGATCGTCACGAAGCGGCGAACTCGCGATGGGAAGAAGGAAAACAGGGATTTCTCCGTGCGTGTGCGTCTAGGTCGATGCCTCCTTATGGTCTGGGCCATGGGCTCCTTGCGAACCCTGGAGGGGCCCCCTAGATTTCGGGGGTCCTGGGCGGCCGCCCCCCTGCCACCCTCCCAGGGCCAGCCCTGTCCAAACAACCGCTATGTTAGATTGTTTAGTCCTCGCAAATGCGGCACTTTCTCTTTGAGATTGTCTTTTGGGCCCCGCTCCTCCTCGGGTCCGTCCATCTAGCCATAATCGACGGAGCTCCAACAAAGATTTTTGTCGTCTCCCTGGGACTGCAATGTTAGGGTTTCTCGTCGTGTGTGTGCGACGGTGAGCTTTGGTGTCACTTGCTTTAGATCTATTCAAGTTCCAACGACGATGATTGTGACTTCAATATGTTGGTCGGGCGTGTCCACGGACACTTGCCAGTTGTCATTAGTCTCCTGTAGTGGAGCATCGACGTCTCGTTCTGACGGCGCTAGTGACCGTTCGGTGGTCTGGAGACCTCGATGGATTTTTGTTACGTTTGAGGTGATTTATACTTCTGTTGAACTTTGATAATAGACTTGAATCTTTTCGCCAAAAAGATAAGAAAAAGAAAAATGTATGAAATCAGTAGGATTGTTTGTGAAAACTGATGATTGAAAAAAAACACATAATTAGAGGTTTGAATCGCAAGAATATAATAGACGCGGGAATCCAAAAAAAGAAGTCAAATTAAGGTTAAAACTTATGCAAATGTAAAAGCAACTTAATACTAGTCCCTCCATCCGGTGAAGACCGTATGTTTGACTATAAAATTTGTCCACAAAAGAGTGTAGTTCTATCTTTTCAATGTACTTTAAAGTAGAAAAAAATGATTCTCTCTCATCAGACGGTAATCAAGACCAATAACATTATACACATGGTCTCCTTAATTTCTACATGCATTTAGCTCATTGGAGGTTGGATAATTAAAGAAGAGAGAGATGGTGACTTGCACCTTTTCAATGCATTTTTTACTCCACTTCATAACTTATCCTAACATTTATATATGTACATTTTTCACCGGATGGAGGGGGTATGCTAGTTATAGCCTTTGCCTTGGCTTCGTGCATGGAAATGTAAAAAATAGCTTGGAGTGGATTTGAAATACCCTTGGGTTTCCTATGAAACTCAAACCAAAGAAACGTCCCTACATTTTGGATTATGGGAATTTTGTAGGAATTGTAGTAGAGGTTTCTGTACGAAAAGTTCTTTTAGAGCTCTTTGGTTTGCGGGAGTAGAATCCTATTGCTATACATGATTTATTCGTATCTTCCTTGTCCGAGTAGAATGCATAGAACCACCACTTTCGCGTCATAGCTCTCAGAAAACCATCACTTTACAAAACATGACACTTTGCACCGCATCAAAGAATTGACAGTGGCAAAAAACACTAAACCGTTTTTAAGTGCGTTTTGACATGGCCGATCACTCGCGAGCCGGCCGTGAGGCGCTAATGGGCGTCAACAGTCGTATCGACCGAGCCAGTAGGCCCGTTGCCTTAAAGGAAACAGTGGTTGCTCACTCTCGCTCACTCGCACTTACCCTCACTCTCGCTCCCCTCTGCGCTGCCGCCGCCGTCGCTCAACCTCGCCGCCGCCGCCGCAATGGCCTCTTGGAGAGATCTTGAAGACAACAGCAAGGAGGAGGAGCTGACCTACACCGGCATGGACGTGGATGTGTGGGTATGTACACACTGGTTGCGGTTAGGGTTAGGGTTTGACAATTACAACTAGCAGAGTGTGACATTTTAGATCCTCCCTTCTCTGCCTCTCGTCTGCGCCTAAGGATTCTTTTCAATGCAGGAGAATCCTGATGATGCTTTCTTCTATCGCATAGTGACTGATCCACAGATCAAATGCAAGCTTCGCCGATTTAGGGGCAAGAAATGTGTTGCATCCGATGGCATAAACATAGGTAGAAGATTTGAAGGAAATATGCCCTAAAGGCAATAATAAAGTTGTTATTTTATATTTCCTTATATCATGATAAATTTTTATTATTCATGCTAGAATTATATTAACCGTAAACTTGATACATGTGTGGATACATAGACAAAACACTGTGTCCCTAGTAAGCCTCTACTAAACTAGCTTATTAATCAAAGATGGTTAAGTTTCCTAACCATAAACATGTGTTGTCATTTGATGAACGGGATCACATCACTAGGAGAATGATGTGATGGACAAGACCCATCCGTTAGCTTAGCATAATGATCGTTAAGTTTTATTGCTATTGCTTTCTTCATGTCATATACATACTCCTTTGACTATGAGATTATGCAACTCCCGGATACCGGAGGAATACCTTGTGCGCTATCAAACGTCACAACATAAGTGGGTGATTATAAAGATGCTCTACAGGTATCTCCGAAGGTGTTTGTTGGGTTGGCATAGATCGAGATTAGGATTTGTCACTCTCAATATCGAAGAGGTATCTCTGGGCACTCTCGGTAATGCACATCATAATAAGCCTTGCAAGCAATGTGACTAATTAGTTATTTGTGGGATGATGCATTACGGAACGAGTAAAGAGACTTGTCGGTAATGAGATTGAACTAGGTATGGAGATACCGATGATCGAATCTCGGGCAAGTAACATACTGATGACAAAGGGAAT